CACTGGAACACAGTGTTCGAAGTGTTTTCGGAGCGCGAGCATTGAAGATGCCAAGTGAGATTTTGGCGAAACGTCTGCAGGATTCCAGTCGGATGCAAGATTTGCAGGATTCCAGTCGGATGCAGGATTCCAGTCGGAGTTCAACGAGCGAACGGATGATATCCCGGAATATAGTGTCATCATATATATATATATATATATATATATATATATATATATATATATATATATATATATATATATATATATATATATATATATATATAAATATATATATATATATATATATATATATATATATATATATATATAATATATATATTATATATATATATATATATAATATATATATATATATATATATTTATATATATATACACTTCGAACATTGTGTTCCAGTGTATATATATATATATATATATATATATATATATATATATATATATATATATATATATATATATATATATATATATATATATATATATATATATATATATATATATATATATATATGCATTATAAACTATTTGATCATGACAGGATTATAAAATGAAAACAAACATTAAATATACCAGATAGTAAAAAATAAAATACTGATTTATCACTAAACTAACACAATAATTCCCCTCTGGTTTGAACAGGTCCAGGGTAACCGATTTTCGACACCTCTACGAACTAACTCGCTTATCTTTTTTGTGAAACGAAAAATATGGCACAACCGAAATATCTGTATTATATAGATATTGCAAAGCACCTCTGTTTTCTATTTGAGAACTTATCAAAAAACTACAAGTATACGGAAACACGTCAATACATTGTCTTACAAAACTTTATTTTTAATAAAACACCCTTCATATTAATTGCATTTTGATAAAGTTGCATACAGTAAAATTTAATATTATAGATTTAAAGAAGCTCGTAGTCATAGCCATATGGCTATAGGAAATGACACCCAACAATAACACGTCGTCATTTGCTCTTATCCAATTTGTTTTTAAACTGATTTATATGACAATTTAGCGCATGTACATGCACATGTAGACTCTTACAGTCACATCATAACGTGATTTCACTTTTAAACAAATATAATTTGGTAAGACATTTAACGGCCCAGCACACTAAAATTGTCTTCGTTAGTTAAGATGATTTTGATGTTAACTCATGATCAATTGGAAATTAAATCAAGACCGCATATGAAGTTCGATTAGTTCTTGTTAGCCAAAACCGCAGATATGCGATAGATTGCATCATTAGTTTCAAAATAAACAGCGCTGTCATTTCAGTCACTGACATTGTTCACGTTAACAGTTATCCGAGGAACATATTATTTTAGGGCTATATCAGTTTCTTGATGATGCGCCGTTGCTAAACTCTTATTGTAATGCCTGACGTGTCATAACGCATCAGAACGATCCGTTACCTCATAATTAGAACTAATTTCTTCCAAGAATACGTTTTGTCCATCTGATAAAATACTATGATTAAAATGACTTACCAAACAACAGACTCTATTTAGTGTCAATTAATTATAATTAGCAACATATATAATACGTAATGTATATTTTTGACAACTCCAGAGCAGTCAGTTAGTATTTAATTGATATTATTAATAATTAATATTAATGTTATATCCAAAATTCATCATATCGGGCATTTGCGTTCCTTGCAGATTTGTATATTTTGTTTTGCATAAAACTTTTCTAAAAAATTCGTTGAGTGACCAAAATCAATAAAAAAATTAATATTAAGTTTGTGTAATCTTATTATTAAATTTCCGGATGAGTATAAAACTATCAGTACAAATATGCTAATGCAAGGAGAAGCACGGGTGCAAACTTATTCTGGAACGTACATCTTGAATATTTTCGTAAATCTCTCGTTTGTTTATTTACCATAGCATCGTTCTTATATTTTAATATATTTTTTAATTGAAACAATTTAATAGAGATGGGTAAATGGATAATCCTCAATAATAAGTCAATATCTACTAAAAAATTCTCTATCATTGAAATGCCATCGGAATGATTGAACTATTTATCCATGCAGTAATAAAACGTACCATTTTTTTGTTTTGGTTAAACTATTAGTGCAATGTGGCAAAATAAAACTTCTCCAAACCCATAAACCCTCAAAGTTATTTTGATGATGACTATTTTTATTATTAATAAAATTATTTTTATACGTTATGAAGCAGTAAGCTGCATAAATATTTGGATTGAATTGAATTATACCATTTTTAATGTACGCGTTTACACATTTACGCACTCCGTAGTTTTTAACAGACTGTAGGTAAGTACCTTTTATTTGTTATTTTTCTCATATGAAATATGAGTTGTTATAAACCCGTTTCACAAAATGTAATTATTCATCTCTCACAGAAAAAAATGGTAGCATGTGAGTTGGCAGAGTTGCCAACAATCGAACGGATTGCCTTTATATTTTTATTCCGATCGGAATTTACGATTAAAAATTTGGAATTGAATTTAGCAATGTTGCCAATAATCTGGGGAATATTCCTCAAATATTTTTTTAGAATTCTTGTCGAATGATCAATAGGTTGAATTAAAATTATTCTTGGTTCAATAATATTGAAGACACCCATATTTTTACGTATTTCCACATCAATCTAATATCGGATTTAAATTGACAATCAAAAGTTTGATACTTTCTGGACAATTTTTTAAATTATTGATTAATTTAAAATTTTCAAAAAATATTTAATAACAAACGTTTTTTAATTATTTCCGGTTATAAATTTTTTACATATATTTTAGTTTTCATCTTAAAATAAACATATTTTTTTAGAACCGGGTGTGTATCTTTATTTCATTTTACCATAATAATTTAAGAAATAATAATGAAATAAAAAAAAGTGGAATTCTGCTTTTATGCTGTTATATGCTGGCAAAGAGTATCTGATTTTACTTAATTATATACAATCATATGTAAGACATGTAAACTTTTTCATTTTTTTTTAGAAAAATTCTTTTCATTAGCATTGAAAAAATTACTTAAAATCCAATTCATGGTATAATTTTTTTTATCATCATTACTTAGAGTGCAAAAAGTAGTAAAAGTGGTAATATACATTAGTTTTCAATTAGAGCTAGCAAGAAACCCGGATTTTCCAAATTTTTCCAACTACTTGAAATTAACTCCTGAATTTATAAAAATACGTTACTTCTGCAAATTTCCCACTAGCCCTTACCGTTTCGAAACATCAAACAACATTTCCTTAAAACCTCAAGAGACAAACTAAATTTTCACAGCTGGAGTAAATGTTTGTCCTATACATACCCACACAATAACTTCTATAATATCGTATTTAAGGTTTCTGAGAAAAATTTTTCAGTAAAAAATGTTTGCAGTGCAGCTGATGGAAAAGGATAATTCTACAAATTTTAAAGTGCATGGATCGGACACTATGCGGACTTTTAAATCAATTTTGATGTGCAATCAAATGTTGTAGAGAAAAAAGTACCACCTATTACATTTGCAGCACTTGCTTTTGGCTATATTTACTAAATGTAACTATTCTGAAAAGTAGTCGCGTCTCTCGTTTAATTTGCCATGAACTTTAGCCATATAGCTGTTAGCTACTAACTAGTCTAACAATATTTCCAGTAGGAGAACAGCAAATACTAAGTATAGGCTCTAATGGACAGAATTTTTTAGGACTTCCAGTTGTTTATTTGTAGGATCCTTCAAAGCGGTGTTCTTTTGATATCTATACCTAAAGACGCATTTCGGGTTGAATCTTCATGGGTCTCTGCAAAATGCAACACAATATTTTGGCAGATATTTTACGTCTTGCAAACGTCATTTTTGGCATTAAAAATTAAAAATGTCAAAAACGGTTAGAATTAGGTATAGGACATTATACACAAAATATTTATAGAATTTTGTATAGAATTCAAAAATGAAGCAATATACCAGGTGTTCGATTTAAAAGGAGACAGTTGATACTCGCCCACGAAATATGAAACACCCTGTATATATAACATTAAGATAAATTGAAGTTTTGTATTTTGTATTTAACTTTTGTCTCCATCCTCTATAGTTTCTGAGGTAAGGTAGTGTCCCAAGGTAAACAACCCACCCTATACAAATATCCATTAAACAATGGGTTATCCGAAACAACACCATTCACTAACTTAGGTATGTTTAAATAAACAAATTTAATTAATATAATTTTATTATAATTATTATTTATAATTTCTTCAATCCATTTAAAATAATTATGGTTGATTTACTCCATTCCGGTCATTTCACATTGCCTTTGGTTTGAGGCTACAAATAAAGTTTTGGTTAGTTTATATACTAGTTTAATTTTACAGATTTTTGTACTTCTTCTGCCTCTTTTTTAGTACGGATTAATTAAACAATTATATGAAGAGCATTAATAAAAAATAAACGTAAAATACTTATAATACGAAATTAATTATCATAAATTAGCAGCGAAGATCGTTAATATTCAAGATAACTAATTTCTTACCATTACATACAAATGGCGCGAAATACTTCTATCAACCAACTGATTTAATTGATCTTGTCTTAAGGCTGGACCTTCTGTACTACCTTCTGGGATTTTTAAAGTAAATTTCGGTAACATTATGCAACCTCCAGTTAATGGATACAAATTGTATTGCACAGTTTTCACAGAATTTGGTAAAACAGATACCCCAAACTGCAAATAGAACTCTCTTAATGTAGTGATAAAAATGTTGGAATAGTAGAACCTCTGTGTAGCCAGCAAACATAACTGCTTCTTCATCATTTGCTTCCATCCCAAGATTCAACTGCACAAGATGTGATGAATGATTGATTAAATGGTAACTAACAATCACAGGGGTTCTAACAAATCCGTGAGCAGGTGCAGTCATTTTTAAATTTAAAGGAATCCAATCACAGTGGTAGCCATACAAGGTTACCTGTGTTGTGGTTGTTTTACCGTTTTGCCTGCAACAAAATGCATTACGAAAATAAACAACACCTGATTGGGGTTGGTTCATGCACAGAGCAATTATTTTTATTGTATTCTATTCTATATGTCTATTTTGTTCTCAACTTAAACAAAATTGTATAGTAACGTCGAGATGTGTAATATCACCAGGTACTACAAAAAATGATGAGATGTTTTTTGAAGCATAATTAAAAATAATTTTAAAATAGCCTTTTGTAGTTACCTTTTCACTTCATCTGCTATATTTATACACAATCTCTAACCAATAGCCTTGAGAATATTTTACCTGCTCCGCTTTATGGAGAGAGAAATAGGCAGGTAGAGTTCTCTAACGATATACTGTTTTTACCACCTTTTATGATTTTGACTTCAGAATGAGTTCAAGACCCACCTGTTGTAAAGCGAAAGGGACCATTCTTTTTAGCACATGTACGACAACCAGTTTTCTTTGACTAAACTGCTATATTAATTCATATTGGTGTGCTTTTCATAAATCTGCCAAAAACAGTCCCTACTTGAGGTAGCTCGATTTCAAGTTGAATTTGCCTATTAGATAGGTTGATCCCCTATGTTAAAAACACATTAGGAAGCACAAACTGATTTCCAAGTGACGTTAATTATTATTTTTATGTAGAACAAGTTTTTTTAAATAAATATTCTAAAATTGTTTTATAGCTAAATTTACTCCTTCATTTACATTTATAATAAACATTTTAAAGTAAGAATAGATTTTTCGCCGCATGGACTAATAATAATTGAGTAACCTCACCAATGAAACTCTACACTAATCCGTCAGCTTTCAGCATTTGTATATCGTTTGGAGAACTATACATTAACATTTGATGGGAGCGCTACAGGAGAGTTAACATAACTGTCGGAATGAATAACCATCAAACAGCACGTGAAAAGAATATAATTCAACAGTAGAAAAACTTAATTTCGTCGAAATGTACCAAACTCTACTTTTTGATAGATATACATTGGAAGTTAATAATCTAACATATAAAAAATAGTTAATGGGCAAAAAAGTCATTTTCCGCTGCAATATTATACGCTTATTACACCCAAATCCTTGCAATATAATGGGTAATTGTGAATCGCAATAAGAAATAAACAGTACCTTTTCCACTTGATAGTATATTCGCCTACAGTAACGTTTTGATCTGACGATTTTTCACATACTGCCAAGTAAAATTCGTTGGCAATTTCTTCTTTATAAAATGTTAATCCTGCAATTTGACTCTTGGTATTCTCTTCCAGTGCTTTCACAGGAAGTAACTAAAAATGAAGTCAATGTGTAATTGTAATCAACCACTAAAAGACAACTTACAAAGTCCAATGATGTATCCTCTATGAAAATGGGCCAAGGGGATAAAAAGTGAAGAAGCGCAAGTACCGCAAAATCTTCATGGGCATAAAATTTGTGAATTTCGTTCATCATGGTAGACATATATCTGGTACTAACTGTGAATGGTTGCACCACAGGTAAAATAACTGTTTCATTTTTAACACTAAGTACTGGCTTTTCCGTGTCAAGCGCATATGTTATTTTCAATTGGAGAGTCCTTATCCCATCAACATGAATTCTTACAAAGATTACTGAAGACAACTTAGCGCCGACTTTCAACTGTTGGGGCGTGTCTAATATCAAAGGAATCTTTTCTTTTCGCATTAACGAGGATTTATAAATTTCCACTAAAAAAGGAAAATAATAAAAAATATTTTTAATAATTCCATAATACAAATCTTTTTTTCATAAAAAAAATAGGTAAAGGCAATGTATCCTTTTAAGGTATACTCACTTTTAGTGTCATCCTCTAGTCCTAACTCAACAATCAAATCCTTAATATTAGACTGTTCCTCATTTACAATTACAATATTTATTTCGTAACATTCTCCCACTAATGCCGGCGGTTCATGCTCACACTTTACGCTTATTTTTGATTGTCTTGGAACAATTAGAGCAGTAAGTGAAGGTTTTAGGTTATCAAAATCTAAGACATTCTTGCATAGTTTAAAGTAATTTAGTTCCGAATCTTCATTTGATACTTCTATGCTATTGAATTTTAGATGAACCAAGCATTTGCCGGGATCACCTATTGACAAATTTATGCATTCTATCTAAAAAAAAAGAATGTTTTGTTTCATCATGATACAGAATCTATACGCAGCCATACTGTATATTCCTTTTTTATACTGGGCTTTGAATCGATTTTTGAAAAATCGATTTACTTTTAAAAATGTTATGATCTTCAAAACTGTGAAATCTTACCTAACAAAACGATATTTTGGGTGTAAATATTATCAGTTACCTCACTTAGTACGGTGATGATCGCCACCTCCCACAAAAATATTATGACAAACAATGGAAGGGAGTGAAGATAAACATCATTCATTATCCTCAATTCATAATAAGTTAAATGAAGTATTTAAAAAATCATTTGAACAATTACTGTTTAAACTCTTAAACTAGTTATTTCGTAGTAGTTAAATGAAAGAATCAGTACATGTCTACAAGAAATGTTACCTTGATTTCTTTATCTATACTGTTCATATCTGGCTCAAACTCAATATAAAACTTCTTAACCTCATTTGAGAGAAAAAGCAAGGAATTATCATTTACATTCTTTACTCCAAATTCTGATGTTGAGTCAGTTGTAGTTATATTCACTGAAATGTGAATAAACTTCAATGGAAATGGACAAGTGCACCTAAAATAGCAACCCATATATACATTCAATTGTATTACCCCATATGACTTACCTGACATAAATTTCTAAAGCAACCATCTGGTCGACTTCATAGTTGGATTTCAAAAACCGCGCTTTAATTTCCACGCAGGTAATTTTTCTGTCGATATCTACCGACAATTCTAAAAAGTTTTTGGCGAACACCGGTTGCCACAAAATTATTGCATCCTGAATAATATCGTGTGGAAGTTTAGGATCGCTATAAGGTATTTGTTTCTACAAATTAAGTATTATTTAGCTGCAACTATTAATTACCCTTAACAACCTTCAATATTCTCATAAAGTTTTCGTATATTTTCCGTTTCTCTTCGAAACTAATAGTCACAAATGAACCTAGGAGTTCAATGACAAGTACAACATAATCCTGAACATTGGCCGTTAAATATGCGCATCTTAGTGCTTTTTCTAGAACATGTGATATAATACTCCACCATTTTTCTTCTCTATAGTCCGACAACATATGTGTATATAACCTACGTAGAATCTATTAAAATAAATATATATTCGGCTTTTAAAACTTCATTACATACGTGAGAGCTTTTCCAAAATCTTTGGAATTATAACACTCATCCGCCATTTGTAACACAAGATGTCGCCTTGTTCTTGGACATTTATAAATTTTAAATTGCTCATTTGCTAATCCAAATAGGGAAATAATCAGGCTCTGGAAAATATTCTTGTTTATCAACCCTATAAACACTATTGTTCCTCTGCCGTCACTTCTTTTCTGTATTATAGACTTTACTTATCTTAATTGAAAACTAAAGCTATAATTTTCAGATTATGCTAATTTATACTGAAAATAGCGATGAAATAGAAGCTGAAAAATATATTAGCAACAAAAAATTAAATTACTTCAAACTTTCATTCAATTATGCAATATATACAATTATTAAAACAAATCTTAATTAAGAACAGGCATTGCGGATGATGCTCAATCTCAACAACATGATTTGAATTTGTTTTTATCCTAAAATGATGGCATTAAAATTTTAAAATTGTTTTCATATTAACAATGGCAATATTTTTATAGAATCTGAAAAGTAAAGACAACAGAAGTTTAAAATTGTTCTCTAACACACTTTAAAGAAACGCAAATTACACTTTTTTGTAACAAATTTATGAAAATCAAAATCTTCTACTACTACACTACAACTACATAAACATTTGTGTATATTATAACCTTTATGCATTAAATATATAGCCTTTATCTACTTACGGAATGATTTATCTGATTTTCTAAAAATTGAATGGCTTGTATCCCACTTGTTTCAACCGCAGGATCGGGTGGTTCACCAGAAAGTTTTCCTGGTCTCCAAGGTCTTTGTCCAAAAAATTCCACTTTGTCAAAATTGGTCAGTGGATCTGGATAAGGATATGCCATTGACTTCTAAAAATAATTACATAATTATTCCCAGTCAACCATATTTGCTGTACACGGTGATTTATTTGTAATGGTAATAATAACAGATTTATTGAGACCTGTCTTCTTCACCGCCCTGTCTAGGATCCACTTGCGTTATTTTCTATGTCATATTACATAGTTTCCTTAAATACTTTAAATCCCTTTATTTCTGACCCAATTTCTGTTATTTCGTGGGTCGTATTTTTTGCATATTCTCCAGAGTATTTACATAGTTAATAGTTAACATTTTAGTTATTGTTTCCATTTGGTGTTTAAGGTCCATGAAATTTTTTTGTCGCCAACTGAAAGCAACCCTCAATCTCAACTAACTAAAAATTCATAGACTTAGTTTATTTTTTGTAGAAATCACAATATTGAAAACATATTGCGTTTGATTTAAAAAAATATTTTTATGGCTACACTTGTATAAAACACAGATATCGTATTTAGCCATACTATTGCACCATCCTGTTTGTATTGTCCATAAGTGTACGTGCACACCGCAAGCAATGCAATGCCATCAATACAAATTCGTAAAATAAAAAGGAAACGTTCCTAGAGCGGCCTTCTTTTCTATGACATAAAGAGATGGGTGTTACAAGATCCTCGCAGCCAGAGAAGATTAAAAAATAGCCCACCAATAACGACAGAAATAATATGGTATGCAAACGGCTCAAAAATTCAAGGAGTAGTAGCTGGAATATATGAATCTAGGACGAAAATGAAAATTTTGATTCCAATGTGTAAGTTAGTGTTCCAAGTAGAGATTACCATAGTAGAACATTGTGCAAGAGAAATAACGATGAAAAAGGTTCATAATAAAGCAACTGCGTCAGTCATGTGCCCATTAAAGCTACATTATCTAGCAAAATAACATTGAAGTTAATTCTGGAATGCCGCATTAAACCAGATGGCAAGTCAGAATAAAGAGACGGCGCCTTGGGTACTACGCCAAGAAGATAACAAAGGTAGTAAAGGCGCTGACGAAGTAGCCCACCAAGGATCATCAAGGCGTAACCCTTTGGTGCGGGCCTAGATCCGTTGCAAAATCAATCATCAAAAAATGGTTGGAAAGAAAATTCTGACACACAAACACAAACATTCTTTGAGGTCCATGGGCCCAATTTACAGCAGACCTGCAAAACTGTAAAAGAAAGGCGATAAGAATAATGATAAGTCTATGGGTCTAACAACTTAAAGAACCCTATGGGAGAGAAGAAAACACTGAATGCAGATTCTACCAATAGCAGGAAACACCCACACAAGTACTTTGACAATGTGAAGGACTATGGCGTTTTCATCAGCTGGGCTTAACCAAACCAGAAGCAATGAGGTTCACCAAGGAGCCACTATCAAAGATGTGGATTTTACTCACCAAATGAACCTGCATAGAGCTCTATAGCTATGGAGAGAGTCGGAATAACGGACAGGCCAATTGCTAACTCTCTTAAATCTTCTACAAATCATCGTGCCTTCCTTAATGGATATGTAGAAATTCCTAAAGAAAATTTCCTAGTACCTCAAAGCAGAGCATTCTTGAATCCGAAAAGGTACTGTTTTGACTATATATTAATAAATCAGGAAACCAATGAATAAAATTATTTAAATTCAGTAAATACAATTTTAACGATTTACCAAAGTGTAGTGGTAGTAGTTCTTGTAGGATGAACAATTAATAAAAGTTTCACAACTTTTGCTTTCACAATTATTTAACATTCATTACACATTGCACCCAGTCATATCTTCAACGCATTGAACAAACACCAATGATATCAACAATATAAACAAAATATATACCAATATAAATAAAAAAATTAACACCACATACATTTTCTAATTTGTTAGTATTTAAAGAGACAAAGATTTTATGATTGTACTATCTGTCCAAAGGTGCTTCAAAAATGTTCTGGGGAGAATATGTTTTTCCAAACTCACAGTTGGTTTCTAAAAACATACTTACATAAATACGAGTAGTGCATTAATTTTGAACATGAGTTTAGATGAAGAGTAATTGTATTTTTCCATGTTAAACCGGGCGAAAATATTTGTAACTTTATTCAGTTGACTTCTATAGCAATGGGTACAATAAAAAAAACTGTTTTTGAGGGGCTTATATATATTTTCTGCCCGCTTGTTAACAGGATTATTGACCCTCTACATGCTCCCCAGTTTTTTATATGATTCTTTAACCATATATGTGCTATATCAACTAAACCTTACTCCTTATTTTAAATTTCAAAAATAAATAACAAATGAAAAGGCAGCAACCAAAAAAAAATTTGGAAAGGTCCTTTGTCACCACAAAAGATCAGTTTTTTTCGTCTCTAGGGAAAACTCAGACTGGCGTTTTTAATCTTTATCAATGTTTGGTGGCGCCATTTACTGAAACATATTTTAAATATCTTAATTACCGCACAGAATTCATGACAGGACTTTTTCCTTAAAATAGCATACTGTGCAGCCTGTTGGTAATATATCCCAGGATGTTGTGTCTGTACAGCAGGTAATCCAAGTTTAACAGCTTCATAAAAAATATCTCCAAAAACTTCAAACCTAGAGAAAAAAACATGAAAAAAGAATAACAAACTTGAAACTGAAACTTACTGTTTGGATAACCAAGCATAATGTTCAAAAGTGAGTTCTTGAAATCCCATTTTGTTTCTAAATTTATCAATGTGCACCTTAAAATGGGCGATAGCATCACGAGGTAGGTTTAATATGAACATCAGACGGCAAATTTTATAATTTATAAAACATGCAACTGTCCGAATTTCCAAAGCATTGGTATCTACTATTCTTATATCCAATAAATTATTATAAGCTGTTGCATAATGCCTAAAATATATACTAATTAATGTTTGAAAATATGTTTGGTGGACATACTTATGAGCAGTATGAATGTCTTGTCTCAGCTCACTCAAATATGCCATTTTAAATTGATGCCTCACAAATAAATACTGATGTGAAGTCTTATTCAAATGTTCTTTGTGTGCTTTGATATTTTTCAGATTGTTGTAGTAATATGATTGAGCAAACTCCAAAAATGTATTTTCTAACCTTATTGTATAACCCTAAATCAACAACACATTTAGTATGATTGAAATGAGAATCATCATCAATGAAGTCATACCATTATATGCTGGCCATGAGGCAAGACATAGAGCGACTGTGAATTCAATTCACAACTTGAGCATAAAGTTATTGCTCGTTCTGCAGCTAATGGATCGTCAGGAAGAGGCGGCTGACTCTGAATTAATACTACCACAATACGAGTATCCCTGCCTTCTAAAGCTATCCTATATATAAACAAAAATTGATTCAATTACTTATTGACAGTGATGGTACAAACCAATAAAATTTAAAACTTTAATTTAAATGAGGGAGCAAGTGTCTTCTATGCTGTTTTTGGTGTAGAATTGTATGCCAATGCCTGTATATCCGTAATACATACCATAGTCTTGAAAAATGAAAATTATTTATGGGATTAGATATTTTAAAAATTTATTTCAAAAGTCTCCTTTGCAGTGTCTAGTTGAAAAATGTTTTATTAATGGCGGTATGTATTAACTATAACCAACTGCTTATAAAATAAGGCAATGAAACATTGGAGCATGAGTTATGTGCAAATGACTGATGTTATTTAATTTGAAATAACACTTACTTCATGGATTGAACCCTTGATGCACATTCAATCATCTTTTCATTCCACAAACTATCATTCCAATCCAAATCATAAAATATAATAATCACCGCAGGCACTTCATTTAGATGTTTTACCATCCAGTTACGTTTCAAAATACCTTTGGGAATGTACCAATCATATGAATTTCTCTTAGGTTTAACAACAGGAAATTTGTAAGTATTGCTAATCAGCTTATAGCTGACTGGAGCTTTTTCCACCCTATTTGTAAATGCTTCCCAAACAGATTTATGTACTGCATTATTAATAGTATCTAATCCAGAAAATCCTATCAAAGCTAATGGTTTAATAATTAACTCTTGTGGAAGGTTGTAACTATTCTGATAATTCATCAAATTTGTTTGGAAGTTGTGCATTTTTTGTCTAAAGTAGGGTTGAGATTTTGAGGGATGTTAGATGAGTAACTCTTTCACTTCTCCTCTTGGTAACAAGAATACCAATTCCAGATTAATAACCTTTTCTTTCAAATATATAACTCGTATTTCGTTTCATATGATCATATATAAACATTTTTGCGAGTTGTTTGTCAATTTTGTCATATATGTCATACATCATCTTCTTTGTTTTTGCAGAAGCTTGGGCAAATATCTATGAGTACACGCTCATTACTGCTCACTAGAAGCTTTAATGTTTATGAATTTTTATTGGAGGAGAAGCAACCACTGAACAAACAAGGGTAGAAGAGGTAGAAACCACAAGTGTTCGTCTGGTTGCCTAACATTTTTTAGGTTACACTAAAAAATTGGAACATCAATGTGAAGAACCCGCATAACTACTGGAGATCTAAAGGCCCTGCCTAATGCCGATAATGAATGAACCTATGGAGAAAGTATACAAAAAAAATTGAGTAGGTCGATTTAACATGCGCATGCGTGAGATTTAAAATTTCGTTTTTAAGCAATTACCTTGTTGCATTTAACAGTCAACATGGCCGCTGACATTTGGTTAATAAGTTCACAGTTGTGCAGCGATAATTCAGTAGATCTCGTTAAATATTTAAGTGTTAAGAGTGTGAAAATCTGTGTTTAAAAAGAATATGGTGCAAAGTGCAGGTTAGTATGTTAAATGTAGAAGCGCGGAAAATCATCCCTTCTCTTATTGCAGAACACTAACCCAGTATAATGTTCAAAATGTTTCTACTCTCTACCCTAAAATATCCAATTATGAACTAAGCAAACGTGCGCAAGGTACCATTTATTTAAGGCGTAACCTTCGATAATCACGGTAGTAGCTTTATTCTGGACTTAGATTCGGTATGGATAGGATGTTTTCGATTTTGAACATAATGATATTTTTCTACTCCAATTTGTAAAATACCTATTTCTTATCTGCTTATTCTTATTTCTCTTATTGTCACTGCCACATCACTAAGTGAATGTATTCGTGGTGTTTTCCAAACATATAGTTTAAAAATAATGTTCCTCGAAAAAGTAGAATACCCAACAAGTTGTTAAGCTTCAGTCACTGGTTTAGTAAACACCACTTCTGCTTGTTCATATTACACTATTTCAATGTTTCTGAGGGAATATTTTTAATTTTGACTGTTTATTACTTCATCCTTTTACTCCAAATATCTTGACGGATTCTACTTTTTCTAATAAAGCGAACGCTGTTGTGGAATCTGGTCAGTCAACAGTTTTCTACAAGTGCTGTTCTTAGGGATCACGGCTTGCTCAAGTATTATTGCCTATATGCCTGTAAACCAACTTTTGCACCTTAGTCTACAAATTTTTATGTTCAACCTTCGTCTTCAAAAAGGGGCGGTATATTAGTTTCCATTCCGAAATACATTTTCGTGCTTTCAAACCTCAACAGCAGAAATGTTAATTTCATCTGCTAGACAGATTTATAACTGGTAGGTTAATTAAAACTGTCTTGTGAAATTTCCTGAAAATCTTTGCTCTCATGATTATTTAAATGATATACACTGTGGATGGTGTTTAACACCAGTTTACCTAAGAATTTTTGTGTACTTTGTAGGAAGCATGTAAAAATTCTATACCCAAGTTGCAAGATCTAAGAAACCTAACTAGCATCATAAACTGATTGATTTTCATCAAGTCAGAAAACATTGGTGTAGTATTTATTTAGGTAACTAGGATTATTTTGCACAGTAAAACATTGTTAATCTTAATAAAATATATTTTTAAATGTAACATAAAATAGAAAAACAATTTACTACTATTCTTACAGGTGAAATGAATAGAAGGTTAAATATTCAAACACATCATCATAGATTACGCTAAAAGTAATCAAACAGATGATGCACAAATTCATTTATCATAACGCAGCGTTAAAGCCTTTTGTACATTTATAAATAACATTGGTGAATTAAGCTTTGATAACTTAACACAAAGACTTCTAGTTAAGATAAATGAATTTCTTTAACTGCCAATTATACCACATATTGGCCTTGCTTAATTAACTTAAGCAAGCTTTGGTATTCCTAAAAGTATATATTAATAAAATTATAAAACTTTATGTTAAAACACATTAAAATAATAAAACATACAAGTAATGTCAAATAGTATAGCAACTTGACTCTACTTATAAAATACTTTAAAAATGTGTCTAAAAATGGACCACAGTTTTTGAAAGGCTGCATGAAGATCACACATTCTTGCATAATAAAAGAGCACAATGTTTTGTACTAAGTAATTTAGTTGCCGTTCAACAAAAATAAGTTATTAAAACAAATATCACTTTAACTATATCTATAAAAATGAATTAATATCTGGCGCTAAACTGCCTTGCTTTTATATTTTGATTAGCGATCTCACTTTGTTAACACATCTGTCCATAAAGTTCCTTTTTCGTTTGGGATCACTCTGATTACTATTTACGGAAGTTTTATCCAAGTCAGCACTGTCTATCGAATTATCCAAAATGTCATCCATACTATGGAATCGTTGCTTAGTAGTTGTGCAAGTTTCAGTCTCTTCTTCATCAGTTTTGTCATTTTCGGTATTGTTACCATTTCCCTTGGCGAAACTGGTTCTGGACGGATTTTGCATCTCTTCAGTTACTGCTAGAGCTGTAATTGTGGGTTCGGACTCGATGAGACCATCTAAACTACGAGATCTATTAGGAGTTGTGGGACTATTGTTCATTGCCAATGACGAAATTGGTGTAACCGAGCCTCTCCTATAAGGATACTGAGGTGGCAACCCTCTCGAGGATTTCGGGGTTATGATCCAATGGCGGGACGGGCTTCCTGCTTTGAAGTATCTGAAATTAGGAACTGAAATATAAATAATTAGTCCAAGGGTTCGGTTAATTTTAAAGGCAAGCGTTAAGGTAAAAGCTATAACCCACGCAGAAGCAGCTCAGATACAAATTGTAGCATGCGTCTCAAGGATTGCATGCCCATTTTAGATTGGTAGTCAGTTGAAAAACATAATAAAAGAACGTTTTCTTTGGAAACAATTAGTTCATTTCTCCTGATTATGTATTCAAGTCACCTGCGTCAAGTGACAAAATTTTGAGTTAGGTATGGTTTTTTATAAATATGATCTTTATTCACATAGCAACTATCTAGAAGTATGCGTGTGACGCTCATACTGCTGTAAGCAAGTTTGGCTCAATACACTCTTATTTATGGAAGGAATACTCAAAATAACTTACCGAGGCAAAGGTGTTGGCGCATGAACCGAGGCTTGGGGTCCATCTAGTCAATCTCGATTGTAACCTGAATTACCATTAACGTCTTTGTCTGACCCTTTTCCACTTCCAGAGTCATTGCTGTGCATTCTTTGATAGCTTGGCGGTTGTCGCACCATACTGGGGTTGGATGGTGTACCAGGAGTAATGTCGCCTTTAAGACCAGTTCTTATGAGGCTACCATCGCTACACCGTGTATTTAATTCACCGCGCATAAACCTGGAAAGAATATTGCTGATTACCTCATTTGAGACTAAATAATAAATAATAATTTGTATTTAGTATTATTAAATTACTTAATAATTAATAATTAGTTGTGGCTAGTTCTGATTAGTTTTTGGCAGCTGAAATTGTAGTTAGTCACATTTAAAATGCATTTAACTGAAATGATATATGATATCCATTTTTTTACCATTGTCGATGGAAGTATTCTTTATGCAAAAATTAGTTTTGCCGTAATTTGAAACATATAAACATACCAGCCACATAATTTCAAAGGGATTAGTAAAACATCTCACATGCAATTAGTATTAACATGATTATAAAAAATAAAAATACCTTAAGCAAATACTGGTAACAAGCATGCTCCTCTACCTAAATGCTACCAGATTTTTCATTCTCCCGCCATTACAATTTTTGTGCAGCATGCAAAAAAGCAAGATAATTAAATTTGATTTTCTACAGTGGGAAGGGCTGATTTCTGTATGATTTTTTAAGATTCATTCTAAATATTTTACTTCATATATGATGTTTAAAATATTAAAATTGTACTCACATTGCTTATTTAAGTTTATCTTTATGTTGTATGTTACTATTTATAGAGAATTAAGGCTTAGCAAATAATTTAGTCAGTTCCATTTTTGATTGTATCAATATCTTCTCTTTAGATCCCTTCGAATTTTTCTATGAAAAGAAAAACAAAATTGTTAATGAATTGGTAGGTTGATACTACCATCAGATAACTAGGAAATGTGAGACCAATGACAAATAAAAAGTTTAACTTGAATTAAAATGATAATTTTTAAAACTACCATCACCAAAAATAGTTTATTATCATCACATAATGAAAACAAGTACAAAGTTATATAAAATTAAGAATCGCTGAAGATAGGTGTTCCATTGAGAAACCTGAAAAGTTAGCTTAGTATTTTAAAAAGTTCAGGGTTAGTATATCAGTAAATCTTAGAACAACAGTTAAAGTTATCAGCAAATTTAACAAACCTTTCTAGCTTGTCCACACACGCGTCTTGATAATCGTGTATCCATCGCACTGCATTAAAATGGCACACTTGTCTCATATCTTCAGGTAACTCATCCGGTTCAGGGAATGTAAAGTTGTCAATAATAGGAATAATATTACAGTTTGCTGACAAAGCTGCCACAATTTCCTAGAGTAATTTTAGATTCAGATATTAAATATGATCAAATAATGGAATGTTATCATGTACTTACCCTATGCACCCAGTCTTTTCTCTCAACATCCTGTTTGCACCTTTCCAAAGCATTTGGTGTTAATACTAACAAAAAATGTTTTGCTTTCTGTATGCTTTGCAGAAGATTATTATCAAATTTTCCTGCCTCCAACCTTTCTACATCTATGAATACACTGAATCCCCTAAGCTGCAAATGGACTTTGAGCAGACTGGCCAATTGGGAACCATTTGACCTTCTATAACTAACAAAAACATCTAGGGATTTGTCAGAATTTTCGTCATTCATTTCTCCGCCCATTCTGTTCTCAAGTTGCCTTATGCCTTCCATTATCCTGTATCTATGTATTGAGTTCAAAATATTGCATTCATTAAGCAACTGGTCTTCTGAAATATTTCTTAGTGCATCTTTGGTTTCTACACCGGCATTCAGAAGACTGTAAGTGTATATTGAGAACTCTGGACCCATTGTTTGTAGAAAAGTGTTTATATTTGCGGTATCTTTGGATGTATAATCAGCCATGCGTTTTAACTTTTGCAACTCTCTGGTGAATCTGAAACAAGACAATGTTAAGATACTAAATCTAAACTATGAAATCCATTTCTACCTTTTTCTTTTGATCCCATTTGTAAGGCCGATGTCATCGCGCAAATTTTCTTCTGTAAGTTGTAGTAAAAGATCTCCATCAACTCTACTTTCTTCAAAACTAGGAACATAATCTGAGAATCCAATTTGTTTGACCCATTCTTCGACATCTTCCGTCGACCACAGGGGAACTTGTTGGCTTAATTTATGAGGCACTTCCTCTCCGATATGGCGTAGGGCTTGAGCAGCATATTTAGATGCAACTGCATTTGGACAACTAGCTACTTTTTTCAGCGCTTCGACAGCACCGATTTCAGAGAAAATATTTGTATTGCCTTGTTGTTTCTTAATTCCAGCCTCCATGCAGAAGTGAAAAGCGGCAAGATTTGTGGCTTCTTCTCGTTTTGAGCTTAGGACCGGCACTAAATGCTTTAACCACGTTTTGCTTTGACCGTGGGCGTGGGCTAAGTTTGATTTTGCGAACTCTGATGGGTCGTGAGAGGTAACAAATGGTTCAACTAGGCCAAGTGTTCCAGATTGAATAACTTCAGCTTCTATTTCTGCGTTGGCTACCAAAACAGTTATTGCAAGACATGCATAATACTTAATATTATCATCATTATGAAAGGCAAGTGGAAACAACCACATTGGTACTTTTCTTTTGATCATTGCTTCTTGATTTTCCGCACCACCATATAAACTTAAGTTGGCCAGTGCTCCAGCACAATGCCTTAAAGTCTCTACATCACTTTTTCTGCATTCAAATAATAGAGCATCCAAGCCTCCTAGCCTGACGACATCACTACATGTTTCCTCACTGTGTTTGAACAAGTGCTCTAAAATTCCTGTACCAACCCTGGAATGTTCAACCGAATTTGCATGTTTTGTGCATACACAGGCAACATTAACCACTTTCTCCAAACCGTGTTGCACGACATGCGCCCTGTTTTCAGTTGTAAGGCACTGTTCCAATAATTTAGCACTGTTGAACTGTAGGTCTTTATCTCCTTTGGTACAGTTTCCCATAAGCATGTCTAAACCACCGCAGTTTCTGAGTGCATTGCATAATGAATACCCCAATTCGTGGCCATACGTTGGTACCGCCCAAGCTTTTTTAATCACATCGTTAATTTTGTTTATGATGTCTGGCGCTTTGGGATTTTGCTCGATTTTTAAAATGCATTTTACGGATGCGTCAAGATACGTCGAATATTTGTGTATCGCCCGTTCAACTTCTGATGAACTGGAAACTGCCGATAATTGATCCAAATCATCTAAAGGGGTCGCCAAAATCTCCTCCTCCTGTGATCCGTTAAGTAACTCATGGAACTGCTGAAACCAATGTTAAACCAACTCATAAATATCAAACCACACATGAAGCAAAAACTACCTGTGTTAACATAGAAGCGGCTGTAGATGTAATTCCTTTAGAGGTGGAGTAAACGGCGTGACTAGAAGACCTGTGCTTTTCTTGGTTGTAAATACCGGTGGACGTTATTGTTTGCCTCTGTTGCTGAGATTCGATGTTAGATTTTTCTGTGCTGAATTTGTCCGTAGTTAGCTTCATGTTTGTGTGCGCTAGGTTCTTAGATTCTTGTTGGCTAAGGTCTCCCGCTTTTAGGGATCTCGCTTCCTGGACAAAAGAAAATAATTAAATCTTCGGTATGAAATCGAATAGTGTAGTATTAACAGAGTGGCGCTAAAATATGTCATTTAATTTTACTCAAATACAAATTAATACAATGGAAACACACGTTGTATTGAAATTTTAAACAAATTCTATTTAAATTTAAAGGAAACATTTTCTTTCTCTCTCTATAAAACAAAATTATTAAGAAACAATCCTATTGCTATAAACTTTCATCAAACTAATTCGGAAAGGTAGATCAATTGTGCTCCGATATTATAGAGACATTGTCTACCCATAGCGAAAACCAAGGAAAGGTTTCCATCCGAATAGGAAATGATTTGCTAGAACCAGATTGTCAAGATAGTAAGGAGTCAACTTGTATGGAAATTTATGGAAACCTACCGTCGTGAGGTGGAATATGGATTTTTGAAATGCGCTGAATGTTCTATTTTGCACATTGTCAAGATAGTAAGGAGTCAACTTGTATGGAAAGTTATGGAAACCTATCGCCGTGAGGTGGAATATGGATTTTTGAAATGCGCTGAATATTCTATTTTACACATCATTTTAGAAGCAAGCGCCCGTTGTATGAATGAAAAAATTCATTATTTATTATTATTTTGCTTTATTCGTATTACTGTACCGGTTTAGTAAGATTTCAGTACATTCATTGGGGCTACACAGTGTGTTAAAATAAGGTTAATAACGCACTGATTAGACAAGAGACATGTGTTAAATTAAATAATACATTCATGATTCATTTCACTTATTTGGAATTCAGTACGTGTTGATAACAATTATTTTTAGAAAAAACATGTGATTGCCACAAAAGTTAAGTAAATTCAAATCTGTAAAATGTTATTGATTGATTGAGAATCCGTTAGAAAATGTAATAATATTCATGATTCATGCAATCATAATATTCATCATAATGTACGACTTTTAAAAAATATATTTTTTTAAGTTTAACGTACATAATGTTTTTTAATTTTCGAGGCCCATTATAGGTTGCATAATATGTTTAACGACACATCGTTCACAGTTACCTAAAGTCAAATCTATAAAACACGCTGAAAAAATTGGATTTGTGCCCATTGTCATTTATTTTTGATAACAGGATGACTGGGTTCCTATTTTTGCTCATTATTGCAAACTAAATTGCTAAACACATAAACTGTCCAAGAAACCGACCAAAGTGGTTGGGATATAAATTTCACTTCGCACTTGATAAGGTCGGAGTGGTATAAAGTGTAATAAAAAAGAACAATGAATTACGTTTGATATAAGTTGGTGACGCTTTGACGGTGTGTATACAACATTCGACGTAAGCACCGGTAAAGGGTCCTCGTTAAAATCGACACTTCTAAAGGCACCTCTTTTCACCGGCCAGGGTGCTGACATTTTAGTCGACGACATGCACTCAAGTTACACGCACTCGGAGTCAGAACGAACACTCGACACTCACATGATACGGACGCGCGGAAATGAATTGACGCACAATACGACTACGCTCGTGGCGCTGAAAGTGACTGAAACGACGGATCATGCAAAAATTTGGTTTATTTCTGGCTTGATTCTGCGGTTTGTTTGTTTTAACGCACAGCTGATAGATTAAATTAAAGTAGGGAACATTTATTGAGTGTTTATAAACGTTTTCGTATTTATCTCTATATCATGCATGCAGTGGGATAAACTTAATACATACTTCCGATGTACGTGGTGAACATAACGCTGGCAAACGTAACTCGTAACTAGCACTTTGAACCCGTCGCGTTATCATTTACGTGTTGTATTACGTTCAATAAAATTAAAAAAATATAATAAGGCTGTGTGGTTGCGTGTGTAAAGCAGCGTCGAATGTCTCGTCGCGCAGTCGGCTAAACGGCGATTTTAGCAAATATAAAGAAACTTAAAATTTTAAAAATATTTTATAACAACTTATTTCCATTTTAATACCTTAAATATATGCCAAAACGTGCAGAAATGTCTAATAAATATTTCTTGTGATTTTATATACAGGCAGTAACAAATTTAAAATGTATAATGTATTAACATTTATTATATAGTGATATTGGAATGTGGAATTTTTTTGGCTATAAGCTGAATAGTTTAAATTTCATAAGGGTTCAAATGGTTGAAAATAGACCAAAATATCACTTTTCAAGTGTCAATAGCTCAAAAATAATTGAGAATAGAGTCATGTAGATCAATATAAACAATACTTGTTAAGATTTTTCAGGGGATTCCAATATAATGTAATGTATTATGTGTGTAGGGTGTTTAACCTATTAAACTTTCGATAAACCAAGTTGGAAAAATTGATGTGGTTTTAAAATTAAAATGTAATAAAGATTGTAGTGGTGAACACTTTCTGAGCACTTCTCTCTACTTACTCTTTACATAACGAAATTAATGCAATGAAAAACAATACAAAAAGAATTTTGTTGGTATAAACCCCTTTGTTTAAAAAAAACTGCTTGTAGGCAAATTTTGGAGATCAAATTTGGCTTTAAAATTTTGATAGGGAACTATATGACTATACGAAAAAATTATCAACTTGAATCTAGCCGAATCTAACCTTTGAAAAATATTACAAGCTATGTTAAAACATTACCATAGTTCATTTTGATATAGCGAAGCGTATTTGACATTTAGCTAATTTATAAACTGATCCGCCCTGCATAAGAGCAAAAACTATGGTAAACCTGCAAGTAATAATTAAAATACAAAACTTTTATGGTCAACTAAAAGGTTAATGACAGTGACAAATGGTTTTAAAAAAATAATAAACAAACGAAATATATCAAAAACTATACCTAACAACGTTTGTGCTAAAGCAAAATTTCGAAAACGACTTTAATTTCTAATCTCTCAATTGGCTGTTTTAAGCAACGCAATGAGTATTAGGTAGCTACAGCGGCATAGTACTGCTTTTTGGAAAGCTTTTTTATTTCAGTATTTTTTCAGAAATTTTCGGTTTGGGTTATGAACGGGGTCCAAGAACCCAGGCGCATCAATTAAAATGCTAGCCAGCGGATATTGTTGACAATAGCTTATTATGCAACAAGTGCGGTAAACGGCATTTGACTCACGAGTTTATTTGACACGAGCGGAGCGAGTGTTTAATAACGAGTGACTTGCCGAACGTGTTGCATACTATACTTTTTCTAGGACCGTTAGTTTTTGGATATTTTGTCGCAAAATAACATGAATAAATTCACTGACATGACCGTCAGAATTGGCAAATGTCAAAATTCAAGGCGTGGGAAATATCTCCGAAAACATCCGATTGCTCGAAAACCCGTGCGGTAAAATTCCGGAAATGTCCGAAGTGGCTCGGATCCGTGGGAAACGAAACTGACGTGGTAAAGTGACGCTTTCCGCGCGCTAGATCGGTGTGTAATTAGGCATTTTAAAGACAGGAGTAGAAAAGCCTAATTTCCTAATAGGGTATTCTGTATACCATAATTATTATTGATTTACCCTCTCCTTCAAAACAAAGACGAATATTTATGAACACTTGCTAAATTTTCTTTTTTTTTCTAAAGAGGTAAATATTTATGTGATCGGTAAGGTTCTTTTTAGAAGCGGATATTTTGGGCTTATGGTTTATGTGAAAAACGGGAATGTTAAAGAAATCGATTTAAAACATATTCTAGAACTCTAGTTACGTATCGTAAAAAAGTCAAGTCAAAATCTCTTGACGAAGTGCAACATTATAAGCAAGAACAGCAAAAAGTATAATGAGACTGACAGGAGTGCTATTTGACGATCTTATTTGTTATTGGTGCTTAAATGCGAAATGACCGATTAAACAGCAAAACGCGTTGAAGCCAAGCTCGATAAGCAAATTGATGTCGAATTAAACGAACCTTCGACCAATGACTGCATAAGTCTCTCCTGGTTGTATTGAGAGCCGCTCCCACGGGGCCATTGCCAATGAACGTAATTAAATAAGGATAGCAAGGTTTCGGAAAATATGTCGGTAAACTATTTGTAAGTAGACGCCCGAGAGCGGCGTATTTCATAGCTTCCGCAAGGCAAACTAAAGGACGACCAAGTGAGCAAACGCTGCGACGCCATTCGATATCGATTTGGAATTGCTTGGTGGGAATTGCGATGGAATCCACACAACCTAAATAGTTCTGGATGTTTACATTTATTTCGGAAATGTCTGGTCCACAATGTTGGGACGATTCTAAAGTGACGAATATAATTTTTTGAGTTTGTGGCCCAAATTCTAATAAACTATTTATTTACTATTTTTTTACAAATGTACAAAAAAAAACAATTAAATTACCTTCCAAATGATCGCTTGAAGGAAAGCACTGAGTATTTAGAACGTATTCAGAAAATATTCATCAACATTCTACAAATGAATCCGTTCCGATGTCCTGTTGGTTGCGGTGTACTCTGGTAATAGTGGTTGCAGATTTTTCAAAGAAACTTCCACAGGCTCTTGTAATACTTTTTACAAAACTTCTGGATTCCTCCTGTATCGGTTTTTGCTGAGTCGAACTCGTCAATCATCCTGTGGGCTTCTTCAGAGCTTGACTGAAACGTCAGCAAGTTCGACTCGGCAAAAACCGACACAGGCGGAATCCAGATATTTTGTTAAAAGTAACGGTTGCAAAATTGGAAGCTGTTGTCATGTGCTGAATTGCAAGTTTAATAATTATTAATGTACCATTTAAAGCTTTTGTTTGCCGAGGAACTACAAAAATTATAGGAACTTACAGTCTAGACATTATTATAATAACTTCAGAGAGATTGGTCAAGTTTACTATGTAATAAAAATGTTAATGAGGTTTGTAACAAGTTTTATCAAACATTGTATAATATTTTTAACGACTCCGTCACTTTATCAGTTATCCATAAAAGATCATTTCCTGTATCAAAGCAATTAAGCGAAAGCATAAGTTATTCAAGAAACACAAATATAACAGATCAGAGTCAGTCAGTTTTAATCCAATATAAAACAATACATGCGGACATTGAAAGAA